AGAGGTTTTTGCAACCACTGTAACAGCACCTTCTCCAATTTCACACTCTGGACAACAGGTGGCAAGGATGAATCACATTTCATCTGATGGACTACCTCACCAACGTTTAGTAAGAAGCAATTTGAAGATGTCAATGCCTTTTTTGAGGGTATAATAAATAAAACAATATAAATACCAATGAGCTCTTAAAATACCACTGCAAATACCTGCAAAATTCTTGTTGACCTGCATTTACAGTGTACAAACAACAGGAAAATATGTAATAATTAAAAAGCACATTCACACTCCTGATGGTATCATATCAGCTCTCTCCCAAAATATAAGCTTTACCCTTCAGCTTCTAGAAAAAAAAAAATTCTTCCAAAATATGTAGCACTGAGCACTTCTCTTAATAGGGAAAAGCTAAGCTAGTTGTCAAAGCTACCATCTCATTTGTTGCTGAAGATCATCTTTTTTTTTCTTTTTTTGCTTTCTTTTTAGTTTTGATTAATTAGCATCACACCACTTCTCAATGGTGTATGTACAAAAGAACTAACACTTAATCAAAGGTGAGGGAGACTATTATGCCATTTTCACACACGAATTGTGTAACATTAGAAGACAAAGTGAAGGTGAGTTCGACCTGACAAATGACTAGGATGTAGAGTGAGTCATTTTATCAATATTTCAAAGCCCTAGGAAGAAAAAATATTTCCTGTGTACACACAAACACGTGTATAGAAAGATTCAGAGGAATAATAATAGGAAAAGAAGAATATGTTTATAGAAATTTTTAATTGAGGACACACTGAAAAGTATGTGCCTCGGACAAAAGTACTTTGCATCCAAATGAGAAAGGAAACAAGTTTATTTTATGAGTAACAGTTAAACGTTCAAGCAGACAATTAAAGTGCTTTACTGAGGCCATTTTGGGACACCAAATACTTTGAAGATTAGATATTCCCTCATATTTCATGTTCAATGTTCCTCTAAGTAAAATATGTGGTTCCCTTTAGTTATTCAGTTATGAATTGTACTTTAAAGGCAAGGGGACATTTTTGATAATGCACATCTTAAACTTTTCATTAAACTACCAAATTTAAATTCTACCTTTTTGTGCACTCTGACATTTTTGTCTGGCATTTTCATTAATTTTGCGACATACATAAATGCAGCTGAAATGTTAACTGATCAATACTTTGTCTCTCTCATGTAGCACTAGAGCGAAGCTCCCCAAGGACCACGTAGCAGTACAGAAATTAAATGTGTAAAATATCAAATGTTAATGTTAAACACAGCAGCACTTACTGTATAGCGACTGAAAAGGCTAAAAGAATTCCAAATGGACAGATGGTAGCACAAATTATCTACAATCACATTTAAAGATTAAAGTTTGTCCCGTAAAATAATTCATTGACTCATGTTGAAGTGTGTCCTTTTACTGATAGCTCAGTCGTCCAATTATTTTTGTGCTCATTACAGTGAGAAATGACAGTACTGGAAAAAAGAGTGTACACTTTTCCCCCCTACGTTGCACCCACTGACATCTGCAAGAACACAAATGTCTGGTCAAGAGGCTGATGGAAATTAGGCCCAATTTACAAGACATTTCAGTGTCCACAGCCGATTAATATGAAGGAAAAAAAAAAATCCACTTTTGCATACTCTAGCACAGTTCTTATGCACGAAACATACTATATTAACTACTGAACTAAAAAGTTTCTACAACAAAAGCTGTTAAAATTATCTAAAGATCTGTTTTAAATACAGAAAATCAAACAAATTTTCAGTAAACGCTCGCTCTCTATATTCTATTCTTTTCATTGACTTTAGGTGCTTAAGAAGTATAAACACAAAGAGGTAACACATTCCTGATCAGCTTCTAGGCACCAACAGGGCTATTTTTGATATAAAATTGCTGTTTTGGAACCGAAACATTAATTTAACATTGTTGGTATTCACTGCCAATATTTATCAGAAAAGAACAGATATGAAGAAAAGAGAAGGAGAGAATATCAAGTCTCCTGATATTTCAGATTCAAGGTCATATCATTCTAGCCCAAATCAACCTATGCTTCATGAGCTATTTACAAATATTTTTTAATATCTGAAAAATGATGCCTTAATACATGCCACAATAATGTTAAAGCCATACTATAAAAAATTATGTTTGGGTAACAATTATTCTTCTGCTGAGAATTACTGAGGCACGGAGGAAAAACAGAGAGAGTCAAAACCTTAAGTCATTCAGACAAAATCCTGGTGAAGGCAATGAGGTTACAAAGTACAGCAGAGACTGGTAATATACTGTTTAGTCCAGGAAATGCATAATCCAGAATGTTAAAGGCTTAACTTCCGTGTCTCCAGACAGAATGCGCAACACCAGAGCTGGTACCTTGTGATACCTTTGAGAAGAATGACTTTAAAAAGAGCTGCAGTGAGCACTTCAACGTGCAAAGAACAAAGCACATAGCTGTTTCTTATTACAGAGTTACCACATAAATCAAAGCTTTCCATGGGTTTCCAAAAGTAGCCTTTTTTCTCCTTAGATTTCTCTTATATTATTAGCTACGACTATCCTTGCCAAGTTGTAAAAACTGAGCTAGTCTACCCCAGTTTTTCCATGTGCAGTCTTCTACAATAGTGGCTACCTTGGAAAGTAAAGACATGGAGTGAATTGAGAGTAATGGGTACCTGTGATTTTAAGGCTAAGAATTTGGGGGCAATATGAGATCTGAAAAATCAACCCTAACATATTAAACTTATGTGAAATGGCTGTAAATCTGCATTGTGATGTCATTCATCAATGTACATCTTCAAATCCTCCAGGAAATAAGAAATGGTTAATCAAAAAGTTTTCTACTACTACATTATTTATTAGTTTGCCTACAGAGCTGGAAAGCTACAAAACCGCCTATTTCTCCTCTCCTTTCTGGCACTGACATTTCACTGTGACATTCTGTAATCTCTGCGAGACAACTTCAAGAAGAGGTACAATTTGTATAATAGTGAAGAGACGAAAATGATACACAAGTTCAGCGTTATTACAGAGTCCACTGAATTCCAGCAGAACCTTAGCACAAGTGTCACTCAGTACTACACGTGCAAGTGAACCATTCCCAAGAGAGATATGAGATGTCTTAGGGACACACGATAGCTATGAACCATCTACATCCAAACCTTCACAGTCTTCTCAACCACGACAGAATTTCATGGAGATTTGGCTTAGCTAACAAAAACTTATGCTACAAATGTTTTGTCCAACGGAGGGAAGCTTCGATCCTTGGAAAGGATAGCAAATACCAAGCTGACAAGCACAGGCCAAACCTTCTCTTTGGGCAGGAACACACCTCTGAAGTCACAGCACTGATGTAGACATAACGTATCTATAACTACGCCAGAGCAAAATAACTATTAAGAGGAAACCATCAAAAAGAAAAGCAGGCCTAAGTTTATACAATTAGAAACAGGCTTCTACCGCAATGCACTATAGCTGCAGTAATAAAGTATATTCACCACGGCCCAAAAAAGAAAGTTCTGCGTTATGTATTTGCAACTATTTGTTATGACACTGAATTTGTTCTATGGTCAGAAACAGCTATGATTTAAGAGCATTACAATTTTTTTCGTGGCCACAGCAGTGCACCATGAGCAAGCAACCAGTTCACTTGCCACAAAGAACAGGATGTCATTCCACTTCCTTTTCTTCCACTGATAACAGATGGGTGTTTCACGTCCATATTAAAAACAGAACTGGTCACATGAATATTTACTAATCTGAGTAGTAAAAGCAACATGGACATTTGAATAGAAACATACGTAGAAACATGCAGAAACATGACTAGAAACATGAGTGAAACAAGAGAGATCATCCCTCTAAAGTAAACAGCAGCAAAAAAAAAAAAGACTGTTTGAATAGCAAGTATATCTCCTGTACTCTTGATGAAAACTGCAGCCAAACACAGGGTGCTTGCTGTTATCCTTTGAGAGGCTGCAGGAAGTTTAACATGTCACTTAGTACAAATTAAGCCCTGCTTGGAGAAACTTCCTGCAAAAAAGCATGGTTCATTGAAGGTCCAAAGCACCTGGATTTTGCTGCTAAGGCAGGCAGCTCCAATGCCTGGTTTAATTTCTCCAAATTCCAGGCACCTAAGCTTCAGGCACTTCAGCTAGGAGCACTGTCACCAGGCTCCCGCCGTAACTACCCCACGTGACATTCTCTGTGGGCCGTATATATGGCGGATATGCTCCTAACTTCAGCATTTCAGCTGACTTCATAAATTAGATGTTCCAAACAGTGTTTTCATGCATATATTTTTACTGCTGGTGGAAATCACACAAGCAAAAACTAAATAGCAACTGGGGTCTTGTTTGCAGCTCATGTCAGTTTGAAAACAAAGACGTTCATCCGGGAAACACAGTCTGCGATTAAGCTTGGGATTTTCCAAATTTAACATGAATGAAAGGGTTAATATTAACAAAGCTAATGTTTATGGAGAAATAATAGTTTCATTTAAATCAATAAATACTGAACTATGACCATAAGTTGATGTTTAAAAGAATACTACTTTGTTTGCATTTATGATTTTTAGAATTTTTGTTTTTTAACCAAAAATATTAAATGTCAGCAAGGGAGAAACTACTCATGTCAACAGCTTTGTACTTCCAAAAAAATTATTTTATAAGTATTTTAAGCGGTCCACTACAAGTGAACTAGACAGAAATGAACAGAAGCAATGTTTAAGAAGATCAAGATGTAGCCATAGTTTGTCAACTGTATTTCACATTGTACCATACACTTATCTTATTGAAAAATTATAAATGAAAGCAACTTTTTCTTTCTTCTTCCTGTGATATTTTAAACTTTTTTTTTAATGTGAATATAGATGATTTGTGGTATCTTCATAATGCAATAAAATAAAAGAAACAACCCCCCACATCCACGCTGTATTATTTCTCAGTCTAGAATACAAATACATTATGGTGATATAAACAATATTTAAAGTGTTAAAAGGTCATACCAAAAAAGCAGCAAGACTTCTTGGGGGTGAATCCCAGTCAAAGCAACTGTTAACATAATAGGCAGCATTTATGAGCACCATGACACAACGCTTCATGCGGATAAAGTTTCTTAACAGCAACTGTGAAAAAGATGAAAAAATGAAAATGTTTTAAGACCCCAAAAGCTTTGCAAGATGGTCACATTTACAACATTGTCATTCTTAATTTGGGTAAAGGCTGAGGAAATAATGCATTAAGATTTTTTAGCTCATGGATTGAGAATAATATTTTAACATTTTAGAAACCCAGAAAAGAGAGAATTTAGTTAGCTATAAGGGTCATTTATCCATTGTTGAATTTAAACATAAATGATACACAAATTATTGTCTTTATTTCTGCAACTAGAGATGAATTTCAAAAAAGACATTTGCAAAGTTTCGAGAATAAATTTTTTTATTAAGACTTCAGGGTTTTATTTTATTAAATAGGCAACAGTTTTCCTGTTTTGTAACACTTTGAAAATTCCCACCTTCCTTAATAAAAAGATGCTGTAGGACACTAACCTGACACTATGTCAGATTACTGCTCTAATCAGACTTAGATCACCCATATTCGTTACATCTAATTTTTCCATCATTTGTAACAAATGTGTCTTCTGTGATGTCCTTTTGATCACCACGTGTTTTACAGTATCCAGAGTAACTTTTGCTGCTTACATTTATCTCTGTAAAGATCAGCTATAAAAGGGCTAGGGTTCTGTTTTGGAAGAATACTCTTAAACCCTCTAAAACGGCAAAAAACTTCAATTCACTAAAAAAAAGTGAACAAACCAGTGAATCACTTAACTTGTGTTTTGGCCAGCACACAAAACGCTAGGTAGGTAACACACTTTCAAATTCTCAGAAAATCTGGCTAGTCTAGAACGCTGCTGCCTCAGTCGTGCAGAGATCCCTTTTCTTAGTTTAGGTGGCCTTAGGCTGGGATATTCTGCACAAACTCATATCAAAAAAACAAAAGCGGGTATTTAAAGTTAAAGCACAATGCCATTTTCTGTTATGAAAGTAGAGAGAAGAATCAAACCCGAATAAAAGGCCTTCTTGTTTCGTGGCTGGAATAAAGGTGAAAGATGCAGCTTTCCTAACTGCTTTACTCACAACAGTAAAGAGAGAAACATTCTGCCTTTTGAAATCTCTTTAATGAAAGTAATTGGACAATGGATATAAAATTCATCCAGCAGATAATTTAAATTATGCTCACATTCAAAGGTTCGTTACTACCTCTATAAGGGTGCTGCAAAACAAAAAAAAGTTTTAAGATTTCTGTCTTTCCACTGCGAAGAACAAAAATCCTGTTCCCACAGCCCAGTCAAAAGCCCAGTTCTCCCCAGATAAAATACCTCAATCATGGAACATAAAAAGGCTGAATCAAATTTAAGGGGAGAAAAAGATGCGAGGTGTGTCTAAATAGTTCTCACCAAAATATTAGCACTGTCAGCGGCAAAAATACCTGGAGGGAAAAGAAAAAAAAAAGAAAAAGAAAAAGGGTCCACAGACTTCCTACCCAGACGGCTCTCAGAAGAATAAACAAACTGTTTTAGGTTTTTTTCACCTGAGATTCAAACCTGGCTCAACTTATTTAAAATCTGGCTAAAAGAATGCTGAAAGACACTCCACCCTTGAAAAAAAGGAGATCTTTCAGGTCAAGGTTAACAGCAAAAATTTATGCAAGACTTAGTTTACATGCACCTGTGCTATAATCTGATATGTGTGGAGCCTCATGGTTTCAACTGTGTCCTTAGTCACATATTTCACGGAAATCAAGCTGCAATTTATAAAGAAGAGATAGAATAAAACCCTGTATTCTGTTTCTGCCTTTTCCTACCTATCATACGTTTTTTGCAAACGGGTGATGGAAACGTTATTCTTCACCTCTAGCAGTTTGATATGAGATATTTAGATGTGCACACTTGATACGAAGGCTTTCCAAAAGGATTAGTGTTTCCTTACTCTTTACCTGTTTAGACAGTCTGTTTTCCTCTTCAATGTACTTCTGTTCTTTGGGCATTAAGGTTCGTATGCTGGCTTTCACCTACGCATTAAAACGTGTGTCAGTATTTCAGGCTTCCTTGTTACTCACTAACACCACGCTCTTCAATTTGCAAAAATTACAAAGTTCCCAAGTCACGGCTGCCAAGCCGACAACATATAAACACATACGCAGGCGTGAGTTGCCGTTTCTTACATTAGCAGCAATAGCAGCAGCCAGCAGCAGCAGCAACAAAAAGAGTGGGTGTGCCAGGCAGTGGCAGAGGAGTACTCTGCAGTATACATCAAGGCTTAGCGAAAATGAGGAACGACAGAAATTCTCAACAAATCAGGAACAAAAGCCTTCACGAAACTGAACTCTTTAGCGGTACAAAAAAGCCAAAGTTAAGACTTACAGCATTAAAAATCACATCTATTTCAAGATAGATGACCCCCTTTGTTGGCCCTGTCAGCTGCTTGTTTTTCAAGACGTAGGCTTTCTGTTCACCATTTTGAATCTGCAGGAAAAGGACATGACAGCCGTCTGTCTGGCGGTCTCCGCTGAATACCCTCCCTCGCTGACCTCTCACCCCCGGCTGCTGAAACTGACAGAGAACCCAAAACAACTGTGGCAAGGCTGACAAGTACCTGTTCATTACCAGGACCAAGTCTGTCAGGAAAAATTAACTATCATGGGATTCAACACGGCCGTGAATCGAGTATGTTAAAATTTTAGTGTTCCTATTACGGACCTTGGTTGAGAAATGACAGACACAGAGCTGCAGTCCCCCCCGCCCCCTTCAGCAAGAGAAATACAGAGCAGCCTTGTCAGGTGGATGAAACTTACAGACAGCAGCGGTATAGCAACTTTGCCGAGGAAGTCAGCACTCCGATCGCGGTCTTCATCATAAACTGTCACTTCCAGAACTGAGTGGATGTCTTTAATATTGCTACAAAGGAAAAGGTACACGCACAAGGGGCCGGGGGCGATGGGGGGGGGAAACAGTCACCTATACCAGCAGTTATCAAGGACAAAAGCATAAAAGGTCAGCAAAAACAGACACCCGTGTATTTTTTCAAGCCGTAACAGAGAACAAAAGTAAATAAAATGACTCTCAGTATAGCCAAATGCTTTCTAAGAAACACAGCAACTGCTCTGCCTGCAACGCTTTGCCAGCAGAAGTTTTTAGGAGGATGTGTCTTTAAACGCTCTACCTGGCGTTCGCACTGCACCAGCCGCAGCGAGAGCCAGCGCAGAGGAATACCATTTACAGAGGCAGGCAGCAGGACTGAGCGCCACTACACACTATCCCTTAAACGCTGCTATCCTTGGGGTAAGTCTTACTGAAAATAATGCGATGTCTGGAGGTCTCTAAAAGGAAAGAATTACAAACTACACGAGCACATCCTTGCATTGAGAATGAGCTCTCTCATTCCAAAATTCTGACTTAATTCAAAATACGCAACAGCCACACTTCAAGACATCAAGAACAAGCAGTAAGAAATGATGCAGTTTTCAGCTATTACTGGTTTTCACCTACAAGCTGGTAAACACGCCACCACCATGCACAAGAAATGTCGCTGCACGTTGTAAACTCACGAGTGAAAATCTCATCTTCCTTACTCAGAGGAAAGGAACAAAATTGTTTGAGTCCCCATCTTTGATCAGATTGCTGATCCCAAAAACATGAGCCAAAGAAAAAGAGTTCAACCTCAGTAAAATACATATCTCTAGGTGAAACTGTATTTCCAGCCCAAAAATAATTAAGAAATTTCAGGATAAGGAAAAGAATCAATGCAAACATATGTATTAGAGGGGAAAAAATTCTCCTTGAAGGTCTTTTTGAGTTTTTCTATTTGATTTCTGATTAGGCTTTTGTCCTCTGCAAAAACGTCTAATTCCTCATGCAGAGAGCACTGTTGAGCAGAGGAGGTTGATTCGTTACTGGCTCTCTTACTAGATAACTAAAAATAAATTTAAAAAGAAGTTAGTATGTTTTTGCAGGTACGTAAATGAGAACTATGTTAATAAGCTAATGAGAAGTACAGTTGCCGTGGGATTTTTCTTTTGTTCCATATTCATTCCTGAGAGCCCAGTGCACTGTAAGGAAAGCTAGGCTGTACAGATCCTGTAGCACAGATGCCAAATATATGACTGACAAATTTAGAGGAAAAAAAAAATTAAATCATACACTGTCCTGGGATCAAGAGCAAAGCATTTCTCATTTATGACAACTGTCTCATTTATGACAAAACTATTAGGATACTAGATGGTACTGAGAGAAGCACAGCTGGCAAACGAAAGGCAAAAGTGCAAGGAACATAATTCAGAAAAATATACCTGCATTTAAATTTTTTTCTTTTTTGTATTTAGTTAACGTTCCTTAAAATTAATAATCACATTTTAATGAAGCTCATAATCTCAGTACATGTTTTTCCCCAAAAAACTTTGGGACTACATCCACTGTGATGAGCTCTCGAAACTCTCACTGAAGCTAGCAGGAGTCTGGAACGCCCAGCACTCCTCACTTCCAGGTTTCCAAGAAACAGACCTTGCTTTTTTTTTTCTTTTTTTTTTTAACCTTTAAAACAGTAACTTTTCTCTGATTTTTTTTCATTCACTTAATCCCCCCAAAAGCATTCAGCTATTTGGTTTAGAAATTCTAGTACGTCACTGCAATATTTCTTGTGAATTAGCAGTAGCATCTTTGATTTGCACACACCACCTCTTCAAAAGAAAAAAAAAAAAACACATAAACCCCAAACACCTACAATGTGAAGATTTTGTTCCATTCAGGATTGAGGTTCTTGTAGACAGTATGTGTCAGCAGTCTGTCATTGTTCAATTCAACTACACAGAATGGATCACTTTTACCTGTAAAGAGAGAATTTGGAACAAAATTTACAAACTGACAAAGTTTTAAATCAAAATCAGATTTTTTTTTCTAAGTTACATTGTAATTCACACAAGAATTAATTCAGGGAAGTTCTATGTTCTGCATCATATTCAAGATGATTATAACAGACTGTTCATCCCTGTAATCTATTAACATCCTTCAATAAAAGCACATTTTTTTGTCAAAAAAAAAAAAAGGGAACAAATAGACTACTCTCATGAAAAAAGAGCCAAGCACCCTTCTGAGGCAGCTAAGAAAACTTAGCTTTAATGGTGTCAATCTTATATTGACTGTAACGATCACCTAACTAAAGCATTTTTATATGTAGGAAGTGTATTACTCCACATTATTTGTAAAAACATCACACCTGTGATATCCAAAGGTTACTATCCCTACATGTTTCCTGCTGTACAGAACCTCTGCCCCAAAATCAAAAAGCCCTCAAGACACTCTAAACCTTACAGCATCATATAAAAGGCTAAGACCAGAGAAAATGGAAAAGTACAATTAAACGACGAGACAATTTCAGCTGGAAAGATGGGCTGCTGTTTCAGCACAGCAGAAGTTCAAATATGGTTGAGATCTCTGTATACATTACAGCACAATGAGGGGTTTTGCACCTATTTACAACATGGTCCCTCAGACCGAAAGTCACCACAGGAGAAAGCATGAAACTACTGCTTTGGAAATGTAAAACACAGATGATAAAAGTGGTATCCTCTAGACTGGAGATGGAAGGGTATTTTTTATCGTTTTTTTCTTAATCTAACGAAAGAGAACAGGGAAAGGAAGTGGGGATGAGTCCCTGAACATGAAATAAGTAGCTTATATCTAACGACAATGGATGAACAGCACGTAGATACCAACCAAAGAGACAGCAAGAGAAATCATCTGGACAAAAAGTTGAGGGGTAAGATTGAAAAGTTACATTTAGATGTTTCTTAGACATCCACCAGGTTAAGATCTGCGTTTGGAAAGAAGGAGGAAGGAAGCAGATGTGCGAGTCTTGCACATAACAGTAGTTTACTTGCATAAATGGAGAAGTTCTCCAAAAAGGCGAGGAGGAAGAGAAGTGAAGGTATCAAAGACAACGCTCTGTGAAACCCTGAAATCTACTGAAAGGAAAAAGGTGTCACGAGGAAGACCTGAGGAACAGCTACGAAGGAAGGAGCAGACAGAAAAAAGACATGAGCGGTATGATGAGAAGACGTTTGCAAAAGCCAACAAAGAGAAGAAACCACAGCGTGGAGTAACTTACTTAACTGATATTTCAAATTAGGAGGCTAATGACAACTATAATTACTGGGGAGCACAGAGATGGCGTCTCTCCTTTTACCTATTTTGACTTCCACCAACAACTGAAAAGAATGACCTAATGCTGCATCGATCATTTTGTATCCTACAGATTAGCAAACCGAAACTGATAAGACAACCAGGTACCTTACAAGTAAATTTAAACAGCACAGTGATGATTGTCCTAGCCTGTCTGACTTTCATGCCTGCTTACCTTTGTCTTTGGCACAGAATACAAGTGCATGTATTATTTTCATTTAAGGCTGCAAATATATTAGTACAAAGCTGTGGAATAAATTGCTACTCTCAGAACCCAAGGGAATTTTGTCTAATGAAAATTAACAACCGAATTGCATACTACAGAGTGGCTCATCCTTGTCTCTGGACTTTCTTTGGACAGCAAAGTGTTTGAAAGTTATTGAGTGGCAGCATTGGCCTTCCACAATCAAATCTAGCACACTAAGCAATTGTATTTCACAGTGTCTTCAATAATTGGGTAATGCTATGTCATGTATTATAAGAAGCCATAAATTCAGTAACTCAATGGGGCTACATTAACGATATTAGAAAGGCATGTAATTTGTTTCATACCTTATACAAATGACAATGAAATCAATATTTAGACAAAGCTGCCCAGGGGTCACATCTTCACAAACTGTAATATTGATTCAAACTACATCAGAGGTTAATGTGCATATTATTAACTTTAATGATAAAGAATAATTGTTTTAAACACATTGTGAATTACAGTCAGAGTCGATGTTTACCTTCTCTAGAAAACTGCATACCACTGAACCTTTTCTATTAAACTTGAACAGGATTAATTCATCAGTCACCAGAGCTAGACATATCATGAATCTCAATGTTTTCCTGCTTCAAAATATGTCTAAAAGGTTGCAAGAAATTATAATAATTCATGTTTATTTAGGTTTCCTAAGTTTCAATATTTGAAGAGAAAACAGAATAGTTACAATTACGGGGCAGAAATGATATAGAAGGTGAGCTAGGTGATTTTATGGCTTGTTTGTTTGTTTTTTACAGCATCTTCAGTCATATTTGCATATAATTGTACAAAGTGATTTGTGGTTAGCAGTTTTACACAGACACAGGAAGATGCACTGGAGTGTCTAAATGCCCTTTTCTGTAAAAAATAGAGAAAGTATTTGATAAGCTGTTTTCTGTATCTGTTGACATACACTTTTTCAATGACTCACCTTACAATTTTATATGAATATCAATCTAATTAACAAACAAAGGGTAACATTTATCTCAAAGGTCCTTGATCAAACCAAGGACAAATTGTTTTCAGAAATAAAAGAACCCCATCTCTCAAACTCAACATTTCAACTCTTTGCTCTCACCCTAAAAACCAATTCAATTCAATTCAATTTATTAAAACAATTCAAGATTAACGTTGACAAAAGGAAATACTGTGAAAACACACAAAGGGAACCCCAAATAGTGTGCTTCACAAGCGTGTTTCCCCACTATGAACACCTCCCTACTAAGGAATACTGTTTTTACTAGATGAGGAGGCTGCAAAGCTCGCATCTAGCCAGCTCCTCACCATCCTCTATGCTTTTTCCATATGCTAAAACACTCATAATTAAACTGCATATCTGAAAGACAGCATGCCTCAGCTACGCGTTCAGGGCTGTACTGCCCTATTTGGCGCTTGCTCGGACTCGGTGGCTCACAGCCTAGAGGTCACATCCCTTTGAACTTGCATGAGGGATGAGTAGAGCGATTTAGCATCACGAGGCTGGGTCCAGAGCACCCATTCTTACTGCAGTTCAGCCAGGGCGCAGAAAAATTGTACTTCATACAGTCACAGCAGCATCTCTAAACATATTGCAAGTACGAATGTTCTTCGAAGCTGAGTATCAACCCAAAAACGTTACTCAAATACAAGAACCAGAAGGGCAAATCCAGACCAATCTACAAGTATTTGGTGAAACTCATATCCATCCGTCATCTTTCCGTTTCTCATTATTAGAAAGAATAACTACAGTCTTAATGCTCTCTGACAGCCATCCTCACCTGCATACCTCAAGAGCATTTAAAGCAATGGGACTACCTCTGGTGAAAGCCTCAAGGCAGCCCCAAAACATTAAAAGACAGTGTCCTCAGGTCTCCTTAGTCTCTAGGAGGAGGAAGGAAATCTAATAAGTTATCTTTTTGCATACATTCATCGCTATGTTATTCAAAACCAGTATCTTAAAGTACAACACACACTAATCAAGCCAGCCTCAGACAACTTCTGTCTAGTTACAACCAGCATTTTCAAAAAAAGATCATTTCTTTCACTCATTTTTATATAAAAGACCCATGCTTGCCCATAAATGTATGTGACATCCATCTAAGAATTCCAAAAGTACATTTAAAAACCTTCAATTAAACTTGCCCTACCTAAGCTCAATTGTATCAGTCTAAAATACATTGTCATCAAAAGTATGCTATTCCCTGTAGATTAAATCACCACTGTTATATATATCTCTTACTAAGAGAAATTCTACCAAAGTCCATGCACCTACTGTGGTTGTTCTGACTCCCTGCTCTGAGCCTTTTTCAGGCCTCCAGTTTCTCATCTGACGACCTTAGAGGTGCTTAGTTTCTCTACTGATAAGGCAGACTTCCACTAATTTAATCGCCCTGAATTTGGCCCTAAATGTGTGCTCAGTGCTGTACAAGAAATAAAAAGACCACCTGCTTGAGGAATTTACACATTAACAGCACATTCCAAGCACCACTGAAATCAGCACTTATGAGTAATCCCATGACCTCAGTGGGACTAATCAGGCTACTAACTATTATACCTAGTACTGTTTGAAGGAATTTATAAGCCAAGTAGGTAATAAAACCATTGAAGTACACCTTCTCTCTGACTGAAATCAGACCTGCAGTAAACCTCAATAAGTAGTAAAACAAATCTAATTAATCTATTCTGTTGCTGTACTGTCTCATCCTTTTTAGACTAGACTTGTATAACCCTAAAGGCTCCTGAAAGGACAGAAATAAAGTGCTAATTTAAATAATACTTATAATAATCTGGAAGGGAAATAAGCTTCTCTCTTGACTGATTCCTCCTCCTTCGCCCTACCGCCTTCCAATCGTTAATTTTGACAAAGCCAAACTGTCTTAGAACTTCACCTAGCAGGTAGTCTATTTTGTAATGTAAGCTTCCACTAAAAAAAGAAAAAAAAAGCTGAAAAAGCTGCAGAACTATTTAGCTGTTGAAGCCTTCCATTTTATTCATTATGCCACATGTTTCATCTAATTTGACACACATCCTTGTTTGTGCTATACTGTACTGCATTTCATCTTTAGACAGTCAGCAAGACTGGAGTGCAAACTTAGATTACTTTACTTAAATCTGACTAAATTACTTCACTTAGATCAGCTCTGTGTACCTCATGTGGCACAGTATTCACACATAAATTAAAACACCAGTGTTCTGCTTGTCACCTTACCTATATAAGAATTACCTCTCTGCAGAAGAGGCTAACCAGGAACTACAGAGATCTTATTTGTTGTCTGCTTCAACACTCTTAAAGTCCCCCACTGTCCAAGAAGTCCTTCACAAAAGAAATCAAATATCAGGAGCTCAGAAGGTTGACCACTGGTACGAGGTTTAGCTCCTGTACGGTTCATGATAAAAAACAAACAAAAAAAACTCGCCAACACC